TGTCGTCGGCGCGGCCAGTGGGCTGAGGTGAGCCGCAGCTGGCGGGCATGACAACGGCGCGGCCGGCACGCTTCACAGCAGGGCGGTCTTCGTACCGCGGAGAACAAACAGGGGAAAAAGGAAAACAAAAGACTGTTCAAAAACGAAAACAAAACACGGGAAAAGTTGCGCCGCTTACTGTTTTGGTCAACCGTTCTGTCACGTTGCACACACTAGGAACACAGGAACGAAGGACTGAGGATACACAGAGTAACTAAATCAAATCCCCTGTTAAGACAAATTGTCTGTGCTTCAAATCATGTCTGGCTAAATCAAAATGAATGACTGCTATAACTATATATATATATATATATATATTATTTTTTTTTTGTGTGTGTGTGTGTGTTTTTAATCTCTATCGATTGTACCTTGAATGCATCATCATTTTTACTTTTTTTTTTTTTTTTTTAATTGTCAACATGATTTTAACATTCATGTTGATAATACAAATGATACATTAGGAAAATGCAGCGGCTAGAGTCCTTACCAGGTCAAGAAAATATGATCATATTACCCCAATTTTACAGTCTCTGCAGTGGCTACCTATTAAGTTCCGTATCAGTTACAAAATATTATTACTTACCTATAAGGCCCTTGACCCCTTCAGATCTGAATTTTTTTCACTGAACAAAATTTTTTTTATCCACTTGATATTTACTCTTCTCCAATATAGAAATAAGTCTAAAAAACAAGGTTTGTGCGAACTAATTTTTTTTATTAGATGTTTTCATGTCCACTATAATGGACAACAGGACTGAAGAAAAATAATAATCATGAATGATGAATGACTTACGTTTACATTCATCCTGAGACTCAGTAACAACAGAAGCCGCTGCAGTGGGAGCTCGTATTGGACCTGCTGCAACACTCTCTGTCTCTGTTTGGAACAGATTGTGTAATGTGTTTTATATATATATATATATATATATACAGTGGGTACGGAAAGTATTCAGACCCCCTTA